ACATAACTGTATCTATTACACCTGCACTGTTAGGCCCTAGTTTCCAAGATATATGTAGGCTGCTGGTACTACCACAGTGTATTCTTCTTACGATTGTGCGTCCGTAACAGCGTACATGTAATTTAGTATTGGTTAGTAACAGCGAGAATTAGATTGAATGTTATCAATGCATCGGGTAAGGATCTGGGAAAACTTTTCTAACCCGGCCACTGCGAGGTGACCGGCAACGTTTACATACAATAGTAACAATTATTCTGTTTCATAAAATAATATCAATTATTCACTCAAACAAACACTCTACGATAGAGTAAATGTACAGGCTCGTCAATGAAATTTTACTAGCAATAGAAAAGAAACAATATTGTACAGCCCTCTTCATGGACATTGAGAAAGCATTTGATAAAGTGAACCATGAAAGCCACTTACAAACAATCAAAGAACATTTCCCGGAACAAATCTACCACTTACTCAAATCATACCCCAGCAATAGAACCTTTGTATTAAAAATAAGGGACACATATTCTGAAGTTAAAGACAACAATGCAGGGGTACCGCAAGGAAGTGTCTTAGGGATAATATTATACGCACTATACACAGCCAACATATCAACAACTACCAATAGCAAGATACTGACATTGGTGGACGATGTGACTATACTAGTCAGGCACATTAATCCAGAAACAGCAGTCACATGACTACAAGAGCATATCGCAAAAATAGAAAAATAGCTGCAAGATAAACAAATAAAAGCAAACCCTAGTAAATGCAAACATATTACATTTAAACTATAAAAATGGAAACCGCTAAATATTCAATTGAATGGCAGGCATGTAACACAAACAAAGCAAGTTAAATATCAAGGACTCCACCTAGACTCATAACTTACGTGGAAGCAACATATTACATCAGTTATAGACAAAATACGGATAAAAAGAAGACACATGTATCGGTTGACCAGCCGAAATTCTAAACTCAACATAGAAAATGAATTAAAAATTTACAAAACGATAATAAAACCAATTTGGACGTACGGAATACTACTATGGGGGACAGCAGCAATGAGCCATATAAATAAACTAGAGTCGCTACAATCGAAGATACTGAGAACAATAGTCAACACCCCATGATTTGTCAGAAACGAGGATATACGCAAAGACTTAAAAATACCAAAGGTCAAAAAAGAAATTGGCAGGTACGCAGAAAAATATATTGAAAGATCGGCAACACGTTCAAACCTGCTGGGTGCTGAAATGACCAAAACCTATATAAAAAGAAGACTAAGAAGAAAACGCCCCACTGATCTTACTGAAGGAATAAAATAGTCAAACTCGAAGATGGGTATCCCGCTGGGGGTAGCCATCCACATGTTATTTAGTAATTAAGTTAGAAAAATTTATCAAATGTCCAGCTAAACAAATAGTAAAGTACAAATTAAATAATAAAAAAAAATTATTCATTAACCTATTATTTCTACAAATTAATTTCTATTATTTTATCCATTTTAAGTATTGTCGACTGTCACAGGACGGCCCGACTGGAAAATGTATCCTAAACGCAAACCCAATACATTGATGATTATTCATTTTTAATTGAACCATAACTGATATTTTTTACAATCTCATACATGCAGTTATGCACAAAGCTTCATCCCAGATCGCCTCACTCTCGTTTGTCTACATAAACTGAAGTTAGGTGTTAGGTTTCGATCGGATCATTGTACTTCGTGAACTACTACTGGCAACTAATACAAATGTCGTGGATGCACAATTGCAAGCAGAACTCACCGTAGTGGCATCGATAGATTTTTGTGAATATTTTAGAAACAATAGTAGATTGACAGTTATATGTAAATAAAATGTTATTCAAAATGTTAAGCTTTGCAACATATTCGAAAATCATCGAAATCAGAGGAAACGTACCCATTCTACAGTTTCTTCTACAATTAAACTATGATCACCTTGTGTTGGGTTTGAGTAACTTTTTTCAATTCGGCCGCCACGAAGAGAAGGGCAACGCTTGCGTAAAATAATATGTTGATTACGAAAATAATAGCACATTGAATAAAAAATAATAACGGAGATCTGTACTGAAATAAAATTTTCGGCGACATTTCATAGAATCACGCATATGCAGTTATAAACGAAATTTTGGTAGAAGCTGTTTGTTCTCATTAGTAAAGTATAATATAAAGGTAAAGAGATCGTTAGCTGATGAATGTAGGCAGATTATAAAGCGGCAAACATGCAGGCTAAACTTGTTTTGTGTCGCAGATACACACAGGTAATTATACACAATAGAGGATTGAATGGGCTAGTAACGACAGTTTTTCGCGAATATCTCGGAAACTAGAGCTAAGTGGTGGTAACATATATAGTAAAAAGTTAGCCAGAATCATGCCCTCGACAACATATTCAAAAATCATCGAAGTCGATAATAAGAGCAAATTTCTAAATTGTTACCATATTTGTTTATTACGTTACTTATACTTCTATCTTTAAAGTAGAAGATATTAAAATTGCATATAGTTGTGTATGATCCTACTTCTAGGTTCCGCTTTAATTATTGGGACAACGACTAGTATGCCCTATGATACCTTGATCGAAAGCTTCAATGTCAAAAATTACGATGAATGTGGACGGAAGTATAGTAAACTCACAGTTTTCGAAATATGTACATATCATAAAAAATATATTAGTACTATTACATTGCACTCTCTCTATACATACATATACATGTAGTATCGCGAGCGAGGGGCCTGGAAGTTGGCGGGTGAACCGCGTAGAATGTCGCGAAAGCCGAGGCATTCGTTTCGATCGTGTAGTTTTGGAAAGAGGAGGCCTACGTGATCTTGACCACGAGCGGTTGCCAAGGGACGAGAAACGAATAAAAAATGATTGCGAGTTGCGTTGCCGAGAGAGTGTTGATTGCGTTTATGAAAGTCGAGTCGTTGATTAATTATTTAGTTGTGCTGTTTATTATACGTTTGCTGCGATTAGTTCATGTTGAACAACTATCGTTTTTCTGTCTGATTAACACCTGTATCATCCATTCATTGTAAATATATTCCATCACGATATTACATACATATATAACTGTAAAGTGACGCAATAGTCGCTTCGCTGTTTGTACGCAGTCATATATGTATATGTATGTATAGGCAGAATGTAACGTAGTAGTATGCACTAATATATTTTTCTTAATACATATCTCAAAAATTATGAGTTGGCTACATGTCGAATCACTGCCATTATAATTCTTGTGGCATAAGCTACTCGTTCTTCCAATAATTAAAGTAGTGTCGAAATGATAACAAATAACAATACATACACAACAATTTCACGAGAAGATCTCGATTTAATATATCTGCCAAAAGAAATGAAATAAATGAAGAAAGTTACTCTTTAGGATCATATTAACAAATCATTACGGACCACTTTTTACGATAATATTTATATTTTCTAGTGAACTGATTTGCAATGAATTTTTATAAATCTGGATCACTAACAAAATTGAAATTCGTTCAGATCTCTGAAATGTCACATTGCAGACAAAAGCAGGATTTTATCCCATTTTTTAAATTTATTTACATTATTCTATTTTTATTATATTGTGTTATATTTTTGGACTTACATCTTTAAGGTCATATTTGGTGTTAATACCGCTGGTTGCTGATTTTACTATATTATTCATCGTCATTAATGATGTTCCGAAGCTAAAACAGAGAATAAAGATTTTATTGCAATTATACTTGTAAACTTACTTAATAAAATGAATTATTTGTAAAGTAACGGTTAACAGATATCAAAAGAAATTGATAAAATATGTGTTTAAAATATATATTGTAATTAAGAAATTTCGTATGATTTAGGAAGAAATGAAATGAATGGTCATTATTAATTTTTTTTTATAGGTTGATTCACCGAACTCGAACAATGTAAATTATTTATAAATTACCTGTTACATATAAAAAGATGTATATAATATTAGGCATAATGAAAAAGTTTGAAACAAAATTAAAAGTCTACATATAGGAGCTACAAGATATTTAATTAAAGTACAATATATATTTCATAGAGGTTATACAAATATTTAAGCAAGGTAATTTTTCATTATGATAATGTTCAGTGAGACTATCTTTAATACCTATCATAGACTTTATTATACGTTTTACTTATTACATGTTTAAGATAGCTATTTAGAATATGTTTAGTACTTAGGCCGGACTATACCCCTATCTCTATTGCAGATAGGATTTTTTCTTGTAGGGTTTTTTTTTTAAGCAGGGTATATGTTGTGTATACAGAATCTTTTATTTCAATAGATGACTTAAAGGAACAAATTAAAGAGAATTTTTTAAGTATGAGTGCTGAACAAATGAACATTATAATGGAAAATGTAAAAAAAGGAGCGCAAAATGTTTAGAATCCGATAATAGAGAGGTTGAGTATTTGTTGTAACCGTTCAAGAAATGTTACATATTTCGACAAGCGTTGAGTTTTTCATGACTTCACTCTGTACTTTCCTGGTTGAAACTGTAGAAAAGCTACAGTTCTTTCCAATTTTGATGATTTTTGAATATGCCGTAGAAATCAATATTTCGGACAACTCTTTTCTGTACATGTAACTTCCGGTCGGCCATAGTTTCCGAGATATTTAGAAAAAGCTATCGGCATCATTATAGTGAATTCCGTCGAGAATTGAGCGCCCCTAACTGCCAGATTAAGGTAGCTAACCTAAATCCAAACCCAATACATTGATGATATTTATTTTTAATTTGATTATAGCAAATATTTCTTACAGCCTTGCATATGCAGCTATGCACAGAGCTTTATCCAAGCTTGTCTCGTTTATACATAATATGTATAAACAGAAGATAAGAGCTAGGTATCGCTTGGCCGTTATACCCGCTCGCCGCACGCCGCCAGACTTTTGGCAATCAATACTAACGCGCACGCTGCCAGGGACCCACAATGATAGAACACTGTAATGGTATCGATGGATTATTATGAATATCTCGGAAACTCAACTCTCAGTTACATGTACAGGAAAAAATTGTTCAAAATGTTGAGCTTCTCATACTATTCAACATATTTAAAAATCATCGAAATCAGAAAGGACATAGTTTCTCTATAGTTTCGGCCTTTTTTATTCCGAATGTCACGAGCAATCAATTAATACAAAAGTTTGTAAGTTTAAATTTAAAAAAAGGTGCAATGGCAGTTTGCAATTTTTTATTATGACAGACACCATATTTTACCAAAATTTGAATTTACGTACTTACTCATCGCTATCAATATAACAAACGACTGAAAAAAAGGCTGTACAAGTATTATCATATACATTTTTTCAATATTTACACTTTTCAATTTAAACTTCTTTCTGCAAGATTATTATATTTCTTGCGTGTTTTTAACAATGACGCCTAACTGTTCTGAGTTTCAACACAAAACGAGTTTCAAACACATATATTTCATTTCAAATGATCTTACAAACCATTTTGTGCAAGAAAATTACTGTTTACAATTTTTCACGATTTTGGCTGTCTTGAAGACTAATTCGACGGGTCTTCAACTTTTACCAATATCATTATAATAGTATAATGTTTCATTGCTAATGAAATTCAAAATGATTTATATAACATATATAATATGTACATGCGATTTATATAGGTAATATGTGATATTAGTAATCTGTGATAAATGTTCAAATATTTTCATGTACTACTGTAGATAACAGTGACTTAAATGATGGAGTAAGATATAATAAAAGACTTACTATTCTCGAAGACGAGCCCATTTATTTCTGAGGAAATTAAATGCTAGTGGCTGTCCAATAGGGTTGCTAGCAATAGAATTTAGAACATGTCCTGCATCTTGCTTCCTGATACCCGAATTTTCCGTAACCATCCAGTCCAAATAACGACTTAAAAGCCAAGTTTCTCTCGTACAACCAAGAGAATGCAGAAGTAAATCCTTCTCAGAACCGACATTGGTTTCTAAGTACCTTTGCCAAGCAAAGTCCCATTCAATTTGTCCTCCGAATCGAATAGCCGTACAGTAGACGACCAATTTCAGATTTGGCGAGATCCTAACAATATTTAAAAGTTTTATTAAGAGATATATTACTTCTCTAATATTATCAAATTTTGCAATATGTATTATCATATTGGATCGGGCAAATAGATAATTTTTCTTTGAAATGTCATTTCGGATGGAGTTATCTTTTAAATGAAGTAATATAATGTATTATTTCTATTTTTAAAAGAAATTAATTCCTAGTTAAAATGTAACTTTAGAGAAAAATACATTCTTTTGTGTAAATAACTTTATAATAAAGGACCACACACTTTTAATTTTGAATATCAAAAAATACGATACATAAGATTTCACAATCTTGATTAAACTTTAGAGTAACTTAAAAATAGTAACATAAAGAAATAGAAATATAAATAAAAAGAACTTTAAATATGTTGAGTGTCCTGGAAAATGTAATACTATTGAGCAGTATAATAGTCTTCAGGAAAAGGTAGGTTGAAAATATAGAAAAAATGTTTTAAATATATGACTGATATATTTATTATATATGACCAATATATTTTTTAAAATATATAGAGGGTTATCCATTTAACTCGTAACCCGCGCGAGACCGTGGAAAGTGGCAACATTGATCAATGTTAACAATTGTCAATCGTTGAATTTGTAGAAAGTGATCGTTAATAAATTTTAAATTATAGCATAGAAGAAGATGTACATACTAAATCAATTATAGACAAAGTACGGGTAAAAAGAAGACAGATGTACTGGCTAACTAATCGAAATTCTAAACTCAGCATAGACAATAAACTAAAAATCTACAAAACGATAATAAGACCAATTTGTACGTACGGAATACCACTATGAGGGACAGCAGTAATGAGCCACATAAATAAACTAGAGTCGCTACAGTCGAAGATACTGAGAACAATAGTCAACGCCCCATGGTATGTCAGAGACGAGAATATACACAAAGACTTAAAAATACCAAAGGTCAAAGAAGAAATCGGCAGGTAAGCAGAAAAATACAAGGAAGGAACGGCAAAACATCAAAACCTGCTGGCTGCTGAAATGAGCAAAACCTACATAAAAAGAAGACCAAGAAGAAAACACCCCACTGACCTCACTAAAGGAATAAAATAATCAAACTCGAAGATGGTATCCTGCTGGAGGTAGTCATCCACATATTATTTAGCAATTAAGTTAGAAAAATTTACAGAATTTCCAGGTGGACAAATTGTAAAGTACAAATTAAATAATAAAAAAAAGAATATGTAAAAAATGGAAAATGTTGGTGGAAGCAGAGAAAGCGCCATGATGTTTGTACGAATGCGAATAGTAATATTGTATATACATACTTTACTTTTCAAATTACTTTTCAAATAATCATCTTGTGTGGCAGGAGGTGGTGACCACGGTGCCTAATCGTTCTGTATTCTTGGCAATTCTTGTTTATAACCTGTATAACTCCAGGTAATTCTAGTTCTAATTCTAGCAACAACTCATAGATAGCAGATGTCGATCATACGATTGCACTAGTAAATACATGCGGGTTCCGAGTTAAGTGGGTATATTAAGTGGTATACTTTCAGCTCATATCAATAATAAACTAAGATGATAAATAGTAAAGTAAAAGTAAATATGGACATACATCACCTGATCATTATTTTAGAATAGTATTATACTTAATATACTAAATAGTATTAGGTTGTCCCAAAAGTTTATTTCATTTAATAAGGAAATACTAGATGCATAACATTTTTTGTTTTATATTATTTTATTGAATTATGTATGATCGATTTTGTTCTATTATTATAAAATTTCTTCTATTATTACAAAATGAATAAATATAATTCAATAAAATAATATAAAACAAAAAATGTGGTGCATCTACTATGTGCATATAAAACAAAATAAATTTTTGGGACAATCTAATATTATTCAGTATATTAATTCCAAAATAATAATCTGATGATGTATGTCCACATTTATTGCAGTAATAGAGCAAAATGGATCATACATAATTTAATAAAATAACATAAAACAAACAGTGTTGTGCATCTATTATTTCCTTACAACACGAAAGGAACTTTTGGGACAACCTAATATATAATAATTGTACTGATAATTGATTTCCGACTTTCTCGAAAACAGTGACTTACATATGTATTTAGAAAAGTTTTATTTTCCAAATTACTGCGTTACTAGTACTGCGTTTGTCAAGGCATCCTTTATACCGAATGATGAAGTTATTGTTTATGAAATAATCAGAATATATTAAACACAATTAATATTATGTATAATATTCACGATGCCGTATGCATTCAAATATCAATTGAAAAAAGGAAATTATTTTCAAACAAAGTTAGAATGTTAATGAATTACAAATATTTTTTATTATTTGTTTTATAAAGGTATAGAGAATTTGTTACAGTACTAGTTTTCATAATTTGACAAATTGTTTAATACATAATATAAGAGGTACTTACGGATTATTTTTATCCGGGCTAGGCGTATTACGCCAATTATAGAACTGTCTCACTGCATTTTGCACACAATCATCATGGCCGAAGTTACATGCCCATGTTAGCACATCGATCCGGGTGAGAACTGTCAACTGAGGATCCCGAGAACTATCCTTAAAACCAACTTGTTTGTACACGTTGTCGAGTAGCTTCAAAATGTATACCTAAAACATTATTTAATGTAACATAAAGAAATATATGTATTTGTTCTAGCACAAATAGAACATTCCATTTATTATCCAAAAATTTAGTCACACAACATTCAGTGTACTAGTTTCTGTATGTTATAGGTATAAATAAACAACTCTTACATCCATTTGAAATAATGAAAGTTTATCCTTTTGGATTATGAATTATATATAAGGAAAAGATTGTGTAGAAATTTTATTTAACTGTCTCCGATCTTATTATAAATGAGTTAATGTATGTTAAAACATAATCATAAATATGGTCCTACTGGGATTAAAAATTCTATCCTTTTTCTAATATCTTTTCATATTCTTGTGTTCAGACTTTCATTCTATCTTAGACATTTTCCCGAGGCACATTTAGTTATATCTGTCTAAAACTTTCTGTAATCGTGCATTTTTCGTGCAGTTTACTTTCAAATAATCGGTCATCCCATGTGTTTGTAACATTTAAAATTCAGTCATAGTAAGATACACATCAAATTCCCGTTCATAAAATTATAAAAATTAATTTATTATAATATTTGAAATAGGATATATGACAAAATAATAATCAAATCTTTAAATAGCATCGTATATCATTTTCTAACTTACGTAAATTATGTTTGTGTTCAAATATGGAGGATTCTGCTATGAATAGCCAAAAAAACATGGCATATAGTGTTGTTTTGGGAAACTGGTATAGAAAAATTAATAAATTTTTGTATTTACCCGAAATTTGTCGTAACTCGGCGTTTTGACTAGCATGCTATCCAAATAATCCATGGCAGTGAAAGCAGACTTCCAAGGTAAGTACTCAGTTTCATGAGCTAAATACGATGTGACATCCAAAGCAATGGCGTAATCTAGCCTTCCGGCTCTGGCCAAATTAAGCGCATCATCTATTAACTGAGCACGATTGATCGTTGAAATATTTCTAAAGGAATCCTTGTTCAGTTGTTTGATTATCAATTGCCAATTTTTCCTGTCGTAATTCACTCTGTAGTATCCTAAATAGAGAAAAATTTCGAAACAAAGGATTAATCAATGTATGTGCTCAATAATTCATATAATATATTAGATATGTGTAATGTATTAAATATATTATATATATTATATATATTTATGAATTGCATGTACATAAATTAATTATATATTAAATATATTAAATTTAGACCAGTATAATATACATATAAAAAACGAACTTGATGTGAATCTATATTGTGAGAGACAATGAATTTCGAGTGTCAAAGATGAGTGGAAGGGTTGTGCGCATGTCTGTGTGTGTACTTAAGATTAGGCTATCAGAAGAATATGTGATAACCCATGTTTTGGGATAGGTGTAATAGAATATCTCTCTCAATCGAAATAATTGTCTCTCAAAAAACAAATTGATCGACTCTGCCTTTCTTCAATTTTATTGCATAGATACTGTGCGGAGTTGGAAGATGAGCAATAAGACAGCACTGGGTGAAGGGGGGTACTGCTCTTTATCATTCAATCTCACGCGTCGCTATATTGTTTCATTTCGTATACGAATAACCAATCACAGTCGTATTGCATATGCTAGTATTCTTTCTAGCTCCGCACAATACATGGTTATAATTAAGCGAATGATTTATTTCTTCATGCCTATTTATTGCAAGACAATTGTATAAGTAATTGAAAATTCTAATATGAATTTTAAAAAATTCTGTTTTTGAAGATTTATTATTTTTCTCTGCTTTTTAATTTATGAAGTTGATCAATATCATATTGCATTGAAAATGTATGTTGTATAACAAAATTAGGTATTGAATAGTAGCGATAAAAGAACACATGAGAGTTTTTCGTTATTTCGCGTCGTGCTATTAAATATTTATGCTGTGCTGCCTTATATAATCTTCACGTTTCAAAATTATTTTTAGTATATTTAATTCTAATTTTATTAGATCGTGATTTTTACCTCATTTTTGGGCGTGTTTTTATCAAATAATATATGTATTATTCTATATACTATACTATACTATATTATTCTATATACTATGCCATTAGAATATTGTTAATGTAAGAGAAAATAATTCATACTTGATAATGTTGCAAACAGAATCCTAAGAATTTCCATCTCTATTTGAAACAAAAGATGTAAGAACCAAGAAAGCATAAATCGATATTTAATTTTATGTTAGGAGAGAGAGAGAGAGAAAGGTAATATACATTTTTATATACGTAGACTGATATTTGTTTCAAAATTATTTCAGAACATGTTCCTTACCAGTTTCTTGAATATTCAAGATCACCCACTCCGAGAAATTCCAGTTCAAATTCGATAGCGTAATCGATTTTTCTGCTTTCATCCATTGAGAAGGTTGAGTTGTATTGAAATTTAATTGACTTTCAGTCGTATATGTAATTGGTATCCACCATAGTGGTTCAACACTAGATGTGGTCACCATAGTACCATTACGAAGCATAAAACGGTCCTAAAATGAAAGAAGCGAACGAAAACATAACAAACGTTATTCGTGAACGATACATCGCGTCGATTCATTGTAATATTGTATTGAAAGCCACGGATGAAAAATATTATATGATAATTTGCATTACCTGTCTTTTATAAAATTTTTAAATTCGCAGTCTTTGGTATAACTGGCTGCGTTATTAATATTCTGCGATAGTTCGAGTGAGAAATGAAGTGTGACAACCGATTTACTAGTGCTTTCTAATGAGTGAGTGTGCGATAGTGATTACGTTGGTTAAACCAATAAAAGGGCAGAACAACTGCCTTCAAAATCCTTCAACAATGACTTTCCAATTTAACAAATCGTACTTCATACTCTGCAGTTATCTCCGATATATTTCCCCAAAAAGATCTAACCCCAATCATAGAAGAACATGGATAAACGATTAAAGACTACGAACAAAAACCACAAAGTTGTAACTCTACCATTATATGCATATTCCTATCCAACAGAAATATTACGGGCGGATTAACGGAGAACCACAAGGAAATTCACATATGATACAGAGGCATGCCCTTCAATTAAGATCCTTGATATTAAAATGAAAACAAATAATAATATCAAATGTACCACACAATGTAATTGTGGAATCATTGGGTAAAATTGGTAAAAAAAATTAGGTAAAAGGTACTCAAGTACAATAAAAAAATATAAATTAAAAAAGTTTTTTAACAAGATTTTATTCATAAAGGCACTAAAAATTTGAAAATAATCTCTATTTTTGTGACTTTTATGAGGCACATAAATCATCTGAAAAAAAATGAGCGCCCTACATATATTACGTATATGTCATATATGGCAAACAGAGATTATATTTAACATTTTAATGCGTTCACGAATAAAATTTTCATGTGAAATTTTTAAAATTTATGTTTTTACTTTTTACTTTTTAGTAAATTCCCAGATAAAACAATTTTTAAATTATACTAATTGATTTCATTATTATTGTTCAAAGGACGGGAAAATCCTTGTAACGAATGAACAAAAAACCTCGTAACGAACAAATAAGTATTATTAATTTGACCTAGTTTCATAGGGTTTCTGATAGAATATTGTGTTATCATGTGTTACATCGCGTGAGATGGTCCGTGCCACGTCCTTCATTGTTTGACCGTCAAAGGCCCATGCACGGTTATACAGACCCTCAATAAACCTAAGGAATTACCATAAACAAAATCTTTTTAACTGAATCTTTAATCCTGCAAGTATTTTCGGTTTATGGCTGGTCTTTAGAACAGTCCTTAGGTTCATCATTCGCTCTTAAAAATCACGGAGTAAGCGGGTATTTACCTAACGGGAAAAGCCGGTTTTTCATGATCAATGTCACCCACGAGCCACGTTGGAAGGAAACTTCCTCCTCCTATCTTTATTCATTAACGTTGGCTATAACCAATGGGCATTGCGGATCGTTACTCTCACTTTCCTAACGAAAAGTGTGAACAAGGAATCCGCGTACTTAGTTCAAAACGCACACCCGCACCGAGCTTTCCTCAGTGATAATACGAGAACGAACTTCATTTGATCTCTAGACTTATTCTCCGGACTTGTTCTCTAGACTTGAGCTACACTACGGAACAGTCACCACATTTCTAAACTTGTTTCACAAACAGTTCGAGTAACAGTAACAGTTAAAGCTCAGAAGTAACAATCAATCATCACAGTCCCCAAGAAAAGAGTCTCAGGTCGTACTCATTCGTATTTTGGCAGTCAACATACGCACCACTGTATTAAATATTGAAGTTATTAGATTGTTGAAAATATATATATTATAACCTGTTAATATCAGCGTTATACTCATTTGACCACACCTATTATCTTAATCGAAATATCTGGGCGCAAGGTTTGAAGAAAATTGATTAAGTAAAAGTGTGTCAAAAATCGCTCGCAAGATTTGACGACTTCAAACAAACATAACAAATTGTATAAAATCTTATAGTAATAATAAGCTTCCTTCTTGTTGGCCTGGTTGATATTGGTTTGTCGTAACACGTATTAAGTTTTAGACATCAGTTATATATCAACCTTAAGGAGAAAGTTACTAAGCCCAAAATGCGCTTTGAATATCATACACCTTCTTCAAAAGATACAGAGAACTGCACAACAATAAACCTAAATTACCAACCCCATTCTATACTAGACTTAATAAAATTCTATAATCACCCATAATCGAAACGTTTTCTACCATTGGACGAAAACAAACAAAAATAGCCCCCTGGATTATTAAGATTACACTGACAAAGACCAACCTTATTGATCTCCCGAAAAATCAAATAGGCAGAACAGAATACAATATCACATTCCTAGAATTAAATGCTAATCGAATAATAAATCGATCCATCGAGATCAGAATCAGGAGTAGGATATACCGTTATCACAGGCGATAAAATAATAAAACAAAACCTCCCGAAATTGACATCGATCTTCGTCGTCGAAACATAAATTGCCATATGTTGCCATATTGAAAGCTCGGAAATTTGCACTCATCAATAACCTACAAAACTTTGCCATTTAACCGGAGTCCATAAGTGTGATCAAAGTCTTCGACAATAAAAAAGCCGATGATGCAGATAAAAATGTTATAACCCTCTCACAGACTGAACCAACGATCCTAATTCCACGTCAAGATCAAATAAACAATATAAAAATAAGCATAAAAGAAGGATGGTACAAAACCAAAGGAACAAGAGTTCACAATGTAATTCAGCATTTTGGTCAACAAGTACCATGTAAGAGTGAGAACAGAAAGAAAGAACTGTAATTTCCTGGATGAGGACTGGACATACTAAATTAACGCATGAGTGCCTAGTCACAAGATCAGCGCCTGCTCGGTACAATATACGCCAAAACCAAACATTATATGAGCGCAGAGGAATAGGACCACGGCATAAAGATAAACTTACAACATAGTACCAGATACAGTTCTAACACCATAACATTACATAAAGAATACAGTAAACTACCTTAAAGAAACAAATATATACTCCAAAATATTACCCATCCAGGTGCAACATCGTGGCTAATGATCTTGTAATCTATGTGACATAAAGTGTAGAAAATGAAGAGGAAGAATTTTCTCATTTAACATATTGTCATCAATTTTCCACTAAACTATCTCCTCATTAAATTTTGGAATTATGTATATGTTTTGTTACTCAACCGAATACTTAAAGAAATATCAAAAATATTAGCTATGACTACTGAACATTAGACTAATACTAATTAAGTTAAAATCAAGAAATTGGGCCTCTTTCTTTCCTGTGGGGTTTCCAATCTTTTTATTTGTAACAAACCTGCGTTAATGTCGCTGAACCAGTGTTATAATCTCGAATAACTGTCACCACTGGAAAACCAGTCTGGAGAGTCCAGGTATCCATAATTTGCTTTATCGTTATCGTTGGATCGAGAACGTTGTCTTTGTGCGCCTGTTTTGTCAAAGCATCCCATAAATCATTTTGCTCGGCACTTCGGTACGCTCTGTTACAAAAGTATGAACCATGATTTTAGTTTAATATATTAATCCTTCGCTCCACAACAATATTTTACAAGTATAAAGTATATCTAACATTTAATTAGACATTATTATCATTAACTGTTACGTTATGTATTCTGTTTCAGATTTAAATAGCGAGACCAAGACATTTTAAACATACAGCAAACACGCATACACACATACACACACATTACGCTCATCCTATATACCTCAAAATTATGACCGATATTACAATCAGTTTTAAGGAAGACGCGACTGCAGTAGCGCATTGTGTATAAGACACGAAATCTCAGTTTCGAAGTGAATTGTTTAACCCTTTCGCTTTGACAATCCAGTTCGCCGAAGTACTGTCACTGAACGAAAACGCGCGCCAGAAATACGCACAGTGTGCCTGTTTGCTGTATATATGTTTCTCTAAGTCTTTAATAACAATAATTCTTGCAAGAACCATATATGAAATATCGTTTCACTGTCAATGGATGTAATAAATTTTTTAGCATAAAACAGTAAACGATCGTTTGGATGTTTGAAATATATTACGTGAAACGTTCTGATGTCGTTTCAACAATGAGTAACTTTAAGAAGTGATTAATCCAATATGTCAATAAAATCAACAGAAGATGTTCTGCCGATAGCGGAAAAGTATATTATTGACTACAGATAGCACTTGTATATGCATCATTCGGATGCCGGATATGTGGGGTGCCAGACCCAGGAGTCATCGCGTGGTCGCCGCCTATATGCGACGCTCGTACCCATAGGTCATCTCGTGGATGCCGCCTATAAGCGGCGCTCGAAGCGAAAGGGTTAAACACTTTGTTTTGTTTTGTTTTCTCATTATCCATTTGTCAGATCATTTTATCGCTGGGTTAATTAACTATTTCTGCCTTATTCACTCTCAGACGCCCATAGAATCTATTTTTCACTTCAAATTCAATAAATTGAAATCATTTTTGATATATCTATTATTTCTTAACTTTAAGATATATAATATGGAGTAAAAGTAATTTAAGATATTTAAAAAGGCATTAATAATATATAATTGATTATATATATATAAGATATGCCATATAACGTGCACCCGTGTTCAGGCACTTCCAATAATCTGTCAAAAAACTATTGGAAACAAAAATTATACAGCTTTAAGTCGACAACACATTGCAATGGACAAATTTCCAAAACATATTTTCTCGACAAAAAGCCAAGGATATTTTTACTGTTTTAGATAATACTATGTATTTCTGACTTCAAAGTGAAATAGCTGATGTCAGAACAAATTCAACAATCTTCTATACTATGATCTTGACATGACCTTGAATTCAGAAATATTGAGGAAATTAAGAAAAACATTATCGAAAACATTATAAGCTAATACAAGATCTAGATTGAAGACACATAAAATAAATCTTAATCAAAAAGGAAGTGGTTATACTAAATACCTTCTAATCTAAAGTACGTTAACTAACCTTTTGTACAAAAGTCATTGCCTTTTCTAATGCATCCTAATTTGGTCCGAAATCTGAATAATGAACGTGAAAATTAAATTATTATCCTTATACTTACTTTCCATTCAAATAATTCGTTAGACCTTGCTTGAATACTTTGTTAGTAAGAAAATGATCCATCATTCTTATTATAGAAGCGCCTGTTCAAATATTAATATGATTATATTACCATATTGTATCATATTATATTACAAACAATACGTCTTTTATTTATACCTTTTTCATAAGAAATTCTGTCAAAAATTTCACTAATCTCATCGGGATGTTCGACTTCGATCGATATCTGATGTGAAGATTCTAACGCGTCTAAACCAAAAACATTTTGCAGATCATGTACAACGAATTGTTCCAAAACCTTCCAAGTTGGTTCCACCTAGAAGATTAAACCGATAAAATCTATGAAGAATCCTAATTATTTAATCCAAAAGGAAATAAGAAGAAAGTTGAAAATACGTATACTTCATATAGTACAATCTATTACCATCTATCAAATGGAAATATTTTACTTTTATCAAAATAGAGAAACTTCATATTATTTTAAATCCATTGTTATTACCTAAAAAGTATTTAATTTAAAAATTATTAATATGAAAAATATTAATTAATTTGAAATTATTTTCATAATGACTATTACGTGACCTTTTCTTGTTTTCTATATAGTAAGAGTTTTTCAAGAATCTTAACAAATAATTTTTCAATAAATGTATTTCATACTATTATTATACGCAATAATTTATTTATGTTTCTGATTTCCTTTTAGAAATAGTTCTATATGTGTTTTATATTTAATGTGGTACTTTATCTATTGAAATATTTTAAACAAAATCGTAAATTCAGAAAATCTGCAAACAAGCAGCACCCCGGAAAGAATATCTAAGAATAAAGATTTATACCTAGAAAACATTATATGAAAATATTTCCTAAAATTAGAGATTAGTTGCCGTTATGAGATTACCTGTCGAAGACGACAAAGTATTGTATTTTTCATTCGAAATAATCTTATGGTATTATATATTTTTTCCGGTTTATCAACTTACTGCATTCACACCGATATATTCTACATAAGTGGCAAAGCCTTCGTTCAACCAAAGATCCGACCACCAACTTGGAGTGACCAAGTTACCAAACCATTGATGAGCAAGTTCGTGAGATATTACAATTGCTACACGTTCCTGATCACTGCTGGTCGAGACGCCTTCTTGATATAGCATAGCAGTTTCTCTAAAAATTCAATCATATCACTTACCAAATATCGTAACGAATTTTATTCCATAACATGTTACATGTAGAATGTGAAGAAATTGTTTTGGTGTACACAGAAAATTAATTTCTATAAGAAATAACGAACCAATTAAATAATTAATAATCTCCTTAACAGATTGTTTAGATTATAAGAGTTTAATCAAAAATACTTGGGAAGAATTTAAAAATATTATCGAATATTAATTAATCGGTTTTAAATACAATTCTTCGATATCACTAGAAATAACTATATCCATGCAGTAATTATGTAATATGATGAATATTCTCTTATAAAGAAATCGGAATATATTGATAAATAAGATGAAGTAGATAGTTAGTAGACGTTTTAAGTAGATAGAGTATTGTTTCGTGTTTCTAAAAAAAGATAAACATGAATGAAGGTCACTTTTGTTATGAATTCTCCAACTGTCATTGAGAGTATATAGGATTAAAATCGATATGCTTTAAAATACCCTATAAAAATACACAATTTAATGATAAAAATAATTGTTGATAAAACTTACCTGCAAGTGATTAAACCCCAGTTTTCCATAGCTCCTGCTGAAAAATCAGGTAGAGCAACAGTATCTATCTTGGGCAAGGGAAACTTAATCTTGAAATAGTCTTCGTAATATTCGAGTATTCTCGGGCCAATGTCTAAAGTGTAGCGTGCTTGCTCGATAGCGTCGATCCGTGCCCAAACTCTAAAGTGTTCAGATTCGGATTTCAGTACCTCGAAATCCGAAACAATAAAAGCAACCAGGTATGTGGACATCGGCACCGAACGTTCATAATGGTCCCACACGTATGTTGGTAAGCCAGGCCTGATTACAATTAAAGAAGAAAGATGTATTATACGATACAAAATTTATGGAAAATATGAAAAAATTAAAAATAAACATGTGAGACAATAGAAATGAATTGCGAGGCACAATAAGATTGTCACGGGGAGAAATGTCACAAATGGATGCGAAAATGCACGTAAAAAATATATAAGTAAATAATTATTCATTTCGTTATAAATGTATAGTATTCAACATCTTTTTCTAGCCCTTCTATCAGTTAAATACTTTTTGCTTCTTTCATCTAAAATTTAGCAACGAACATTTTCCAATTAACATCATACACGAAAATTTGGATCATATAGTTAATATTATATTTTATATATTTTTTGTATTTGTTTCATATAAGATCAATTTACATTTATAGGTACACATATGAATAAAACTATACCTATATTTAACTTCCCCATGTATTCTATATTTATATCAGTTTAATCGTGTGATTTTATATTTATACCATGTCATTTTTATTATAATTATATCACTGAGCCCTGTTTTAAAAAGTTTAGCAACTGTAATGTTAAATTTGCCATCCCGCAATGTTTTACGGGTTCAAATATTATCTGTTGATAATATTTGAAATTTAGTACTATTTTAATATAACATTTTTTATTTTTCTTGTTATATTTAAACAATCATATAACTTGATTCTAAGCAAGCATCTCACAACATTTTTAGATTGTTGGGAAATAACTGACTACTTCAAATTCAAAATTTACTGAGTAATTGTGATAATAAGTATCAATTATGTCACAATAATATTAGAGAAAAATTATATCTTATTGGAGAAAGAAATTATCGTATAGATATATAGTTATTATAATTACTATACAGGATATACTTCTATTAAAGTAGTGAAAATGCAGATACTCTTCTATCACATATTCTTGTGGGCTTGTATCTACGAATTATTACATTTTTTAAGAAGACAATTTTCAACGCAGAAAAACTTTACTACAGGAGTCGTAATAATCTAAATTTTTATAAAATTTATTAAATTGTTGGGGTTACGCACTCTGCACGTTTCGTGAAAAGGACGCAGAAAATAGAAACGCTTGTATCCTAAACATTTATCTAATTGTAAGCAATAAGAAGGCACAGTCGCGATTATTCATGATATATATTCGGAGAGTTCCATCCTTAAAAATTTTGCAGAAGGACTTTTTCCATATACATACGATAAATTCTTGATCCATCCTTACTGTGAATTTAAAATTCTCATAATACATATATAAGGAGCCAAAAAGTCATGATTCTCAGACAGAACGGGCTGAACATCAACTGTGTGACATTGCGTCACGTTTGTTAAGGGTGCCCTCAGACGACCAACAATATTATCAATATTTCAAGGTTCTCTACGAAAATGTGGTTTATCAATAAATATTGACAATAGATATTGGTTCTTTTAATTAGGAACCTTGAAGTATTGACAATATATATTAAACGCCCGAGGGCCCCCTAAGACTGTTAAGAGTCAGTGCAGTGAAATCGGACTAAAGTTCTGTTTTCTTGATCAATCGTTAATTGTACAGAATACGATGAATAAGAAATTCTACAGAATTCTACAGAATGTCAGTATAAATTCTGTTCGACATTATTTTGGAATTGCTCTTAGTTCTCGCATTGTTAGTGCGTAAATAGTCATGTAACGCGTAATTATACTCCTTTATCCACGACATATACACACTTGTAACAACCTTTCTGATTTCAACACATATACATATATAGATAACTGTATTGTCGCATAAATTCGAATATGATTATTTAAAATCTAACATTCTACCCAGCAATCCTTTACATTATAGTTGGACAAATGCATTAGATATGACTTCGTGTCGACTTCCACTAATTAAAATTACAAGGCGTATACTAATATTGTAATCGTATTCCCTAAAATACCCCAGTCTGTCTTTTGCGTTGTTCGAATCCAGCTCGTAATAAAATCAAGCACATCAGAATGTTTTAGAAAAAAACGAGTAGTATCACGTTTTTTCAATATTCATTTCATTTTTTAATATTTAAATAATTTAATACGGTAGAAAATTCGCAATTGCTACCAAATTCATAATAATCGAAGCTTTCTAAAATTTTTCAAATCAAGAATATTAGAATCTATAAAAAAGATTCATGAAAAATATATTTGATATATGAAAATGAAATAAAATAATACGTAAGTAACGACCATAAGATTGGCCAAAATTTATTTCCCACCAATACAAATTTTATTATAAAGTTACCGCTATATCGAAATGTTAAGTTATTCTGTTATTCCCTTACTTCTTGATCGTGAAGGAATTTTTTCATTGTCAATTGTATTATGGAATCTAATGGACAAAGAACAGTACAGAACAATTAACTTAGACACACGTTTTGCGCAAGCAAATTGATTACACAGTTAATAGACAGAGCCTTTATTGGTTCTACAAATTATGTCTACGTTGAAATGCCGCAAGTAGTAAGAATCCGTGTCATGTTAAATTGCCAGTCATGCGCATGCTTTGTGTGTTCTATCAGTCACTATCAGAAGATTCGTATAATTGTTACTCAAAAAATTTTTATTTGAAATTTAGGTAATTAAATTATAAAATTCATTCAATTCAACGTAGTACCCAATGAAAAAAGATTATTATAATCTATTCAGATACCTAAATCATAATCTTTTAGATCCAATTTATATACATACCACAATCGCGCACACGCGCGCACACACACACATGCACGTGCCTACACATAAAACGTCCTGTTGATCTATAATAATTTATATATCAAAGATTATACCTTGAAACACAACATTGGGGATAACAAGAACTTATGATTGATTTTTGAAAGTCTAATTACGACACATCTCGTCTACGGAATTGGACAGTCTACATGCAAATAACTTGACAAAATTATGAACTTCTCGAATAATCCTATACATTTGATTCGATTGCGAAAATATCTCATAATATCCAAGTAATCGAGGTAATGTCAATCAACTAAACAGTCCAAATGTATCGCGTGTCTTGCGAAACCGTTCCTCCATAGACGTGTTAAGTAGTTTAGTCACTTACACTGGCATAGGCTCCCCCATTCTAGGCATATTCGAGATGGATGACATGTTCTTTGGTCGTGCAATGCTGATCTTGAACGTGGCTTTCAGAGCGGGTTCATCGAAGCATGGAAAAGCACGTCGCGCATCTGTTGGCTGGAATTGTGACGTGGCGATCCATCTGTAACGCAAGATACAGAAAATGTTCACAATAAAGTGATAAATGATCATGTTCGATATATCAATACATACAAAGTTCCCTTTACAATTAGAAATTAATTGATAAGAGAATATCATAATATCACCGCTCGTATAATTTTGAGTTACGGAATAAATACCCGTTAAACACTCAGAGAAACTTCGTAGATCAGTGCGATGCTTGTTTAAACGTCAAAATGCTTTGACTCTGTTCGATGAACTCTCTCGCTCGTGATTGCGTCTGTTTATTTATACTGGTCAGGGGACAGCCGGAAAATTTGAACTCGACTGCGTTTGACGGTTGTAAGTAGCGGCGACATTGTTTTGCTCAGAGTTCATTACTCCTTACAATACTTGTGACCTAACGGTCTTGATACTCCGAAGCAAAACAACAACAGGATTTGAATTGTCCTGCTCACGTGCCGCTACAGAATCCAGATTACGGTGTTAAGGGACTCTCCCGAAGTTCCAAAGGGAAGGCTCCGATGTCCTGATATATATATGTCGGAGATGAAAGAACGCCGGAGCCTTTGGAATTTTGGATAATCCTAGTTTCAACCTAGTTCCAACATTGTAACCTAGAGTCTACTATAGCTGTAATTAAACAATTGTAGTTATTCAATCCGATTGTAATTGTTCGAGAGTTGTGATAGTGAGGTTAGGTTCGAGGCAACCGTCTGTCGCCCAACGTAGCCGCGGTCAAGGGATGAACGCTTTGTCTAACAAAGGCATGGAGCAATTCTATAGCTTTCCTTAAAAAGGAAATAGTTGTAACACTCGACAGTAAACATTCCAACGGTCTCTGTTCCGTAGCTCGCCACACGCAGACCCTATTCTTCGAGTAAGATGATTGCCAGATGTCGATGCGTCTAATATTATAAATCTTAAGATTTAGCTAACTAAAGTCCTTCAAACAGACGAACAGTCTTTGTCCCAACTGCGGGAAAATAGGGGAAATCTATTTTTCAACGAGCGGCGTCTCCCACTAGCAACATTCCCACGAGGGCGGCTAGCATCTTTTTCTAACCACTGGTATGGAGATTGACCAATTAGCAGCAACGCCAATTTCCCTTACTTTCTGAACGAAGGCTTTTCTCGACGAATCCGATGATCTCGTGTCCTTAGACACATCCCATCACAGTTTTCCTCTGCAGCATCATCGGGACGGGAAAGTCATTCCCGCTCGCGATCTCATCGACGAAAAGAGTAACCCCTTACTACCAGTGAATATTACGCGTCCGACTTAGATTTTGTGAGCACGTTCATCTATCATCCCGTCGACCGCGGATTCGTTATTGAA